TGTGTGTGTATGTGTGTGTGTGAGTGTGTGTGTGTGTGTGTGTGTGTGTGTGTGTGTGTGTGTGTGTGAGTGTACGTGTGTAGTTGTGTGTGTTTAGGCAAACCACAGATGTTCTCAGCTGTACAGAAACGTAACTGGCCCTGCACAGCCTTTCCTAATTAAAACCAAGTGTGGCTACTTGCATGAGGAGAGAGAGATGAAGCTAGATCCATACATCAGGTCACATGTGGAAAAAGCTAGAGTTAAAGAGATCTCTACAAGTCCGATGTATTATTTTGTCAGTGCAGTTTTTTTTTCTTATAAAGGTTCAGTCATGCTAGGACTCAAATGCATTACAATGGCTTATTTATTCCAGGGTAAATATAATATAATATAATATAATATAAGTCCTATAAAATCAAAACTGAAATGGATTGTCAACCCAAAAATAAACATTTTGTCATCATCTACTTACCCTCATGTTGTTCTAAACCTGTATGAAATGCTTTCTTCTATTCAACAGAAAAGAAGATATTTTGAAGAATGCTGGTTACCAAAAAGTTACTGGGAGCCATTGACTTCCATAGTATTTTTTCCCCATACTGAAAGTCAGTGGGTACCATCAATTGTTTGGTTACCATCATTCTTTAAAATATCTTCTTTTGTGTTCAACAGAAGAAAGAAACTCATACAGTTTTGGAACAACTTGAGAGTGAACAAATTATGACAGCATTTTTATTTTTGTTGGAACTATCTCTTGAAGTTTTGTGGCTTATACCGTAATGTGTAAAAGAAGCCTAAACCAGTATAAGATGGTCTTAGGTGGTCTACTGGTCAGACTAGGAGATCATCTAAACCAGCTTGACTAATTTGGAAGACCAGGCTAAGATCGGCTTAGACTAATTTAAGCTACTTTTCTCTGCATGGCAGTAGATATCTGGATGCTAGCGTCAGCTTAAAATCAACTTACAATAGAAGCGTAAATGCATGCAAGTGTTTTAAAAGCATTACGGCAACACTTAAACATTACACTTGTTAACATGAGCCTGTTGTGAAGTTATATCCAGTCTGGAATGTCTACTGGGCGACACAAATAAGTGTTTGAGGAGCTGATGGATGTTTTGTTTTTGTGTTTCAGTGGCAGATGAGAGTAACATGGCCTCCATTCAAGGACAGAGACCTGGTAAGGAACTTGAACACGAACACACACACACACACACACATACACACACACACACACACACACACACACACACACACACACACACAGACAGCACAGCACAGCACAGCACATATTAAAGCCACGCACCACATGAGAATGAGATTTTACTATGGTTAAGGAGTTTTGTTAGGCATGTTAAGCCGAGTTGGTTGGAACCCTCTTAACTGTGGTAACATGTGCTTTATTTTAATGAACAGCAGCAACAGAAATATGATAAAAGACGGCAATGTTCTATACCTGATTAATTTTATTCATAAACAATAAGTAAACAATTGCTCTGCCAAGTTGTTTAGTTTATCAGCCTTGCAACATCAGTTCCACCATACTGCTTTAATAGCCAACATCTCATTTATGGTCAAGCGCTACAAGGCTGGCCCAAGATCAAGCATGTGATCTGTAAAGCACTGTGTTAGTTGACTCACAGGCCAGTAATCTGACTCCAGATCAGTTGCTGTGTCTCAGCCAAGTCAAATGAAGATAAACAGAGGGCGACTGCTGGCCTTTTGTAGCCTGTCAGTTGAGGTGAGAGAGTGAGTTGCTGCAGGCAGTGATTGAATTAGTGGAGGAAACAGACAGACACAGTGAAAGCAGTGACCACACGCTATAAGTCCACAGACACATGTAGGGTCTGTTCCAAAAATCTAGTTTTCAGTAAAAATAGACAATAATATGCACTAGTCAACATTTGAAGTGGATCAAAACCTTTCATCAAAGTTGTCCTAAAACCAAAAACCAAAATGCGTTCTTGTCTTAGGACAACTTTGATGAACTTTTTTGATCCACCGGAGTTTAACTGTAAGTGACACAAGCATACGCAAAACAAAGGGAACAATATGATGTTTGTTATTATTAAAATTGTATATAGCCCACGTTGTTATAAATTTTTTTTTTTTATTTACCGTTCAGGCAATAGCATTGACAATAACGTATATCTTCAACATACATTGTCTATGACCAAAAATGTAAGAAGATATGTTTTCAGTGGACTTTTAAAATTTGCTTTGCTTGAGAAAACTAAAATACACAGTTACAGTGTTTTTTTTCTTTTGATTTAGTCGAGTTGGTTTTGCATCAAACATAATGTGATTTTCGGCAATCGAGATCTGACAGCAACAGCGCATTTTTCCACTGGGCAAGCGCTTTGCGGACAGCTTACCTCGCGCATGAAATCATCCGCAGACCAGCAAAACACTGAGAACGCGCTACAATCCTGAAGAATCATAGCAACAGAGCGGAGACGAGAAAGCTGCGGAGAATCCACTCGCCCGGAAGCAACCATAACTGACGTAGATTTACAGAAAATTACTGCCGTTTGGCAAATAAATCATTGTACGTACTTATTCCTAACTCTTTAAGCTTTAAGTTACATTTCAAATGACAAGGGATCAACTTATAATCATGTTTA